GAGGAGATGGGGGTTCCCTGGGGCTGAGGGGGTGGTTGGGGTCCCCAGCCTGGGCTGAGGGAGGAGATGGGGCCGAGGGGGGAAGTTGGGGTCCCCTGGCCCAGCTGACGGGGGGAAGTTGGGGTGCCCTGGCCGGGCTGAGAGAGGAGACGGGGGTTCCGTGGGGCTGAGGGGGGCAGTTGGGGTCCCCTGGCTCAGCTGAGGGAGTAGATGGGGGTTGTTTCCCCAGTCGTGCCTGTCTCTGGGTCCCCTGCAGGGTTGGTCCCTGCTTGGTGGGTGTTTCCCTGCTTGGTGGGTGTCCGCCGAGCATCCTTGCAACAAAGGGGATTTTCAGGGGGTTGATCCCCCTTGGTTTGATGTGAGGACACCCCAGTGGCACTCCCAGGAAGCCCCTAAGTCATTCTTTCCAAAACGCTGCTGTTTATTGGGAAATAAACCTCAGGATCTTGATGCTGTTTTGCTGCTACATGTGTTGGATTTTGTGAAATGCAAAAATTGTCAATTTTGTCTTGTCGCTGCAGACAGGGGCTTTGATCTCACTTTCCGGACAGCGGATGATGCTGGCCTCTCCCTGATAAAATACGGAGAATTTCTCTATGACAACTTGATCATCTTCTCACCATCCATAGAAGGTAAGTACAGGAGGGGAAAACTCAAGTACTTTTGTAGCTTGGTGGCATTTTTGGAAGGGGATTTCCAAATGATCTGGGAATTTTATTTAAATCTCGCACTTTAGATGTTATCCTTTGTGTCTTGCACCCAGCAGCAAACTGCAGGTGCTTCCGGGCCTTTAGTGGTGGTTCTTTCAGCCACGATAAAAATGATTTGGTGCTTTGCTGTGGTTTAATTCTGCCATGGTATTATTTCTATGAAAGAGTAATGAATTTCTGGTGTTGGCTTTCAGATTTTGGTGGAAACATCAATGTGGAGACGATCACTGCTTTCATTGATGGTGGCGGCAGCGTCCTCGTCGCTGCCAGCTCGGACATCGGTAAGTACAAACGCTTGTCAGAGCAAATGAGCGCGTTTCAGCCACTTCTTGTAACAGGTACCTGCGCTGCAACGAGCAAATACTTCATTCATTCTTCTCTGTGTTCCTGCAAAAAAAAATGGTGAGGAAACACAGTTCCTTATTGTGAACCTCAAGGTTTGTAGCATAAGAAAATGGGTGATAAATAGCCTTTATTGACATTTTGAGTGGGAATTTACTTGGGGGAGGTTGTGCTGCTCCTTGGGGTTTGGCTCATAGAGGGCTGGATGTGTGACTTGAAGCTGAATTTATTTTATTCTGAGTGCTGAGACTGGCGTCGCATCTTGGATACGTTGCATAATGGAGAATCCACTCTGTCCTTCCAGGAGACCCACTGCGAGAGCTGGGCAGCGAGTGTGGGATCGAGTTTGATGAGGAAAGGACGGCTGTCATTGACCATCACAACTACGATATATCCGACCCCGGCCAGGTGAATGGGTTTGTCAGCATATTTTGGGTTCTGTTAACGAGAATTTAGGTGTAAAGGTTGGAATCTTCTGTCCTTGCTTTCCCTTTTTTCTTTCATCTGTTCTCTCCATTTACTCAGCTTCCTCCCAAGAAAGTCATAAAGAATTCTGCATGATAGCATGGCATAACACTGTAAATCTGTGCTCGTTTGGGGTCTCTGCCCTCAAATCCATCTTTCTGAATTTCCCAGCTTTTATCTTTCCACTGCCATGAGTAGTTTCAGTTTGTCGCCGTGTCTCAGGCAGTCACACCACGGTTAGTGGTGGTTTTGAACCCCTCTGAAGTGTGCGTGGGGAATTTCACCAAACTGCTGAGTGCAATGCTTCAATGTGGGAAGGGAGATTTTCAGTCCCAGAGATAATTATAGGAATATACACATTCCTGCAATTATTTTTCCCCCTAGTGTCATCCAGTACTTTAAAATTAAAACCTACATTAAGGTCTGAACTAAATGTCTTCTGCTAATTTTTATTTAAATCAAACTGTTGAAGCAGTATGTGGATTTGGTCCTAGTTAAATGATGAAAGCTGCTAGATGTGGGGAAGTAAAACACTCTGAGTGTTGCTCTCTTTATCAAAAGGTGTTTTACGTTTCCTTATGTATCCACATTAATTTAATTTGATCATAAATAAACAACAAAATGCTGGTTTTCTGCTTTTTAATTGAATTGTAACATTCAACAGCTGCTCGGCTTTAATTGTCTATAAAACCAAAGTTAACTATCAAATAACAGGATTTGCTGTTTAGAACGGGCAAACATCGACCCGCCTGCCCCTGCAGTGCCTTCACGCCGCTCTCTCTCCTTTCTCCCAGCACACCCTGATAGTGGCGGACACTGAAAATCTCCTGAAGGCCCCCACCATCGTGGGGAAGGCGGCGCTGAACCCCATACTTTTCCGAGGAGTTGGGTAAGCGACCTGCGGCGGAAGGGAGGGGAGGTGGCTGTTGTTGGGGAAGCGGAGTTAAAATCCTGGTGCTGCTGCGAGGTGAGCGTAGGGTCAGCGGCTGTGACTCTAAACACGAGCAATCTCTCTTGATTTTGGATAACAATAAAATCTCCGAAGCAGTTCGGTTGTTTATTTAGGAATGTTTCTTAACATAAATTACTGAAGCGTGACTACAGATCTAGAGGAAAATGTTTCATTTCTTGGTGTGTGCTGTTGTCTTGCCACATCTGACGGGTGAGGAGGTTCTTGCAGTGGGGTTGGCGGCTCCACGTTCCTCCGGGTGTGGGGGGCTCTGGGGGGTCTTTGTGCTGCTGACCGTGCCTCTCCCTGCAAGGATGGTGGCCGATCCTGACAACCCGCTGGTGCTGGACATCCTGACCGGCTCCTCCACCTCCTACTCCTTCTTCCCAGATAAGCCCATTACCCAGGTACGCTCTGTTGTTTTTTTTTTTTTCCCCTCCTATGGGCTGCATTTCTATGATTTAAGGTCTCAAATTTCAGCAAGTTGGAAAAATCCTGGAGCGTTTGCTCTCCTGATGGATTATTTGAAAGCGCTGGGCTGTTGTCAGGTTTCCCACGTTGCCCTGGGCATCCTCATCTTCGCTTTTTGTTGGTGGGAAAATATCCGGTGTGAGGATGCTTTGGGAGAAAGGCCAGCTGGGACCAAAGGCTGTCTCCACGTTTCCTTCCAGTTGGAGAGGGCGGAAGCCAAACGCTGTTGATCCCATCGCTGGTTATTCTGAGCTTCTTGGCTTCTACTTAATGGCAGACTGTTCCACCCCACAGCAAATGAGATTAACTGTCCTTTAATCACCCCAAAATGGGCTGACCGGTCTCTCAACACGTTCCTTTTCAGTACCCTCACGCGGTTGGGAAGAACACCCTCCTGATCGCCGGACTCCAAGCCCGGAACAACGCCCGCGTTGTTTTCAGTGGTTCCTTGGATTTCTTTAGCGATGCCTTCTTCAATTCCGCGGTGCAGAAAGCCACTCCTGGCTCCAAGAGGTACGTTAGCTTCCTGGCGTCCCTGTCTGAGGAAGATTCGGGGACCTCTTTGATGAAGAAAATCCTGGGAAACAGGCAAAAAAATACTAATGTTACGGGAAACAGCAGAAAACTTGAATTAAATCGGGGGTGATGCCTTCCTTTGGCTTTGGGAAGAAATTCCCTCCTCAACCCAGGAGAGCTTTTTGTTGCTTTCACACCTATTAATGGTTTGGGTTTTGGCACGTAGTGGATTTTTTTGGCGTGGCTGCCGTGCTTTCTCAGCCTTCCTTCGTCCGTAGATACTCGCAGACGGGTAATTACGAGCTGGCCGTCGCCTTGTCGCGCTGGGTGTTCAAGGAGGAGGGAGTGCTGCGCGTGGGAGCTGTTTCCCACCACCGCGTGGGCGAGCTCACGCCACCCAACGCCTACACCGTCACCGACCTGGTGGTAAGGCCGCCTGCACGTCGGAGCAAACAGAAATTGGGGAGAATTTGGGGTTGAGGTTCGTTTTCAGGCATTGCTCGTTAACTTTGCACACTTGGTTCCTCCCAGGAGTACAGCATCGTAATCGAAAAGCTTTCCGACGGCAAGTGGGTCCCCTTTGACGGAGACGACATTCAGCTGGAGTTTGTCCGCATCGATCCCTTCGTGCGGACCTTCCTGAAGAGGAACGGTAGGTTTCCCCCTCCGTCCTGGCCCCACCTCGCGGCTCTTTTTTTTTACCTCACCCGAACATCGTCGCCGTCTCTGTTTCAGGTGGCAAATACAGCGTGCGCTTCAAGCTGCCGGACGTGTACGGCGTGTTCCAGTTCAAAGTGGATTATAACCGCCTGGGTTACACCCACCTCTACTCCTCCACCCAGGTAAATGCAGGGAGAATTGATCGCCCCGGGGGGGGATTTAATCGCCCCTGTGGCCGGGCTGCGGGGCTCACGGGGCCGCTCTCTCCCCTCCCAGGGGTCCGTGCGTCCTCTCCAGCACACGCAGTACGAACGGTTTATCCCCTCGGCGTACCCCTACTACGCCGGCGCCTTCTCCATGATGGTCGGCCTCTTCATGTTCAGCATCGTCTTCCTGCACATGAAGGAGAAGGAGAAATCCGACTGAGCTCCCCGCGGGAGGAAGAGTCTTTTCCCCGGCGCCCGGCGGGGACGGGGGGCACGGGGGACCCTCGTTTGTAACCCCCTGAGGACTGGTAGGTGCCAGGTGTGCTGTGGATTTGCGTTTGGTCTTTTTTATGTTTACACAGGGGAAAGAAAACGAAATTTTGGGGGTCTGGGGACCTGGAACCGTGATGTCTGGGGTGTCGGTCCACGCTGAGCGCGCGATGTGTGCCTCACCCCGCTGCTGGAGCGATTTGGGTTGGAGATGAACTCCCTTTTTCAAAATAAAGTCTCGTTCCTCTCCTGGGTCGAAGTGAATTCACCGCCCGGGGCTTTTGGACGCGTCCCCACGTCCCCTCCTCAGCTGGGGGTGTTCTGGGGGTGGGCTGTGGGGGAGCAGCTGGCCGGCACCGAGGCTGGAGCACGCTGAGAGGCAAAAAGGGGGAGTCTGGGGCCCAGGGAGGGGCTTGGGGCACCCTGAAAAGCACACTGGGGGGTCTGAGGTGTCACCAAAGGCACACCGAGGAAGCCGGGGCACCCCAAAAGCCACCCTGTGCCCCAAAAAGCAAACACGAGGGTTCAAGGACACCCTTAAAGGCTGACCGAGGGGGAGCACCCCAAAATGCACACTGAGGAGTCTGGGGTTTTGGGGTGCATGCGGCTGTTTTGGGGTGCACTGGGGCAGGGCTGTTTTGGGGTTTGCTGGGGCTGTTTTGGGGTGGAGT